GACTAGGCTGAAAATGGCTGGAAACCAGCCTGGAAGTGGCCAAAACCCCTCTAAAACCAGCTTGGTCGACCAGCTAAAACCAGCCAACCAGCCTAGGCTGGTTCAAGCTGGATTTTTCAGCAGGGTTCATCCACCCAGGGTTTAAAATTAGAAGTGGGAAAAGTCTTAAAGTAGATATTGAGCATACACAAACAGAAGAACAGCATCTGCATTGTATGTGTTAGTTTGCATGGCAGCACTGGGTTGTTTGTGTATCATGTTTGCTTGTCTGTGTTTGCAGGGAGATGTTGGTCTGCCCGGTCCTGTTGGTTTAGTCGGGGTGGAAGGCCGTAAGGTAAAGATATTGTGAAAATACATTTCAATATTTCTAAACAACTCTATTTTGCTGTGCACTTTCCAGTCAACATTGTTTCAGTTGTATTCAGTCTTGATTACAAGACCCACGCAAAAACGCTGAAGCGCTCCCACATATTCTGCCTCACTGTATCTTCAGTTGCTATGGAAACTTCATGTAAACATTAGAGGGAATCCCCAATGAGTCGTCTATCACTCCTTTATACTCCACGCACATACACGTCAAACAAGGCCATTGAGAGACGTACAGTCGTTCACCATGAGTAACTCTCTTTGTCTGTGTGTGTGTGTGTTGCGTCTCAGCTGTGCATGATTATAGTACGTTTAGACTCTCTGCCAGGCATTTTACTGTAAGCAGTGTGTGTGTGTGTGTGTGTGTGTGTGTGTGTGTGTGTGTGTTTGCATTGGAAGGATTTTGCAGCGGGATGGCTGGAAAAATCCTGTATTGGATGCCTGCTTTAAATGATGGCCGTGAGCATGCATATGTTATGTGTAAAGAAACAGCAACTGCTCAAAATGATGAAAGTCTATTATGGGAGTAGATTAGAGTCATTATCAACACTTTATGACTGATTGAATGCAAATATTCAAATCCATCTATCATATTCTTCAGAATTTTTTTTTATTAACAAGGACTTCTATAAATCAATTAACATCATGCAAGGAAAACAAATGCTTAGTATGTACTCATTTAGACGGGTTTATATGAACATAGATATTAACATTAAATGTCGCCTATGCTGTTGCTGTCTATGGGAAGGAATTCGTCACTGAAGCTGCCATTTTAGTACAGGGTAGCATTAGAGTAGAGCGTGTGTTTGTGTGCATGGAAATGTATTATCCACCCTCCCTGTTAAAGGGCCATGAAACCCCCTCGTTTCAGCAGGGTGTTTTCACACCTCTACTTTGGAAAAAGTCAGAAAAGTGGGCGTGTCCAGCTCTGTTTAGGGGGGAGTGTCGGAGGAACTAAAGTGGGATGGTGTGGGAGTGTCTATTTGTGCACGCGCGAGTTTCAGAGTCAAAATACACACCCACAGCGGACAATGTGACTGTGTTTAAATGGACATCTGTAGTCGAATTATTTGCCAAATTATTAAAAGTTGGACTTTAACTGCAGTTTGGCTCTTTCATTCAGGGAATTCATTCATGCCTCTCGCGACAAACGAGATATTTGATTCAAGGAACTGCTGCAAGCGTGTATTTTTCATGCAATGTTTGATACCGCACGGCGAATGAGAGAGAAAAAAACTCCGCATTTCCCGGAAACTTAGATGCACACGGCAGGTAGCATTAGAAAGCCGCGTGTGTTATTCCGGTCACAAAATGTGGTGCTAACATTTCTGCACTCAGTGCAATAGTAACTTAATTCAATACGAACAAACTGAATAAACAAAGAGCGCTGGTCGCTCACTTACCAAATCTGTAGAGACAGGACAATCACCAGCAACTAGAGCCACGTCTTTATGGAGAGAAGACAACAAGCTAATTCAGATTTCAGCGTTTGCAGATGAGAACAGCTCTCAGGTAAACAATAATCCTCCTTAGACACGTAAGTTATTGTTGTCACGCGTCGCGTACACTGTTAATCCACACGTGAGACTGAGCTCTCACAGAGAGAAAATGAAAACGAAACTTAACAGCAGCAAACTATAAAAGCAACACTTCACGCTTGTTTTGCCAACACAACGTGGCGTCTTTGTGGCGTAAACACGGTGACACTAATGAATATTAATGAAGTTGCACAATAGAGCGCGCTGATTGGTTTGAACCAAGCCTTACTCATGCATTAATGCATCACACTGTAAGACGTAATAAGACTCACTCTGGCACAGACGTCCAGTCTGCACGCTGGAATACACGCTATTATGTCATGGCCGTGACGCAGCTTCAAAAATTCGTTTCAAACAGGAAGTACGAATTTGCTTGAAATAACGCAAAAACAACCAATTTACACTTTTTAGTGAAATATAGGTGTCCTAATAGTGTTTTTAGCAGTGTGGGACACATATACGACTGTCAACAGCTCAAAAAATGTGTTTTGGTGTTTCGTGACCCTTTAAATTTGATCTAATCCCTGTCCTGAAACACACCCCCTCTCCTGCTTTCACTTTTCATTTTAACGGAGGGCGCGATTCATTTTTGAATGAATCCTTGTTATGAACGACTCGTTCACTTATCAGACAATAATACAAGTTTCTGGCACCATAGCATCTTGTTGTCATACTTCATTTACATTGTTTGCTTATTTTGTTCAAGAAAACTAGCATAAGTCTAGTATTTAGTGCGAGTTGGTGCTACTTTTCTTCAGTTGATCAGTGCAGTAAGAGACTGTATTATCATCAATAACGTGACCTGTTGAGCACAAAAGTTCGTAACGTAGAAAACCATAAAAAACGAAATCTTACCTATGAAATGTTCTGCCTCTGTGCTTTGTTTTCTTTGTTTGCTTATTGCTACACCCGTACACAGCGCTAAATACCCAGCATCTTCAGATTGGCTTTAGTCTTAAATAGTGCGATTAAATGACTTATGTCCTGGGAGCACTGTACAAATGTAGCTGCATTGACGCATGCTTAGGCTCCGTATGCGGCATTTAGTGTATATATCTATGCTATATGTATAGCACATTTAACACGCACAGCTAGTTTCAGTTTCACTATTATTTTTAATTGATTCGTCTTGATGTATGGAACAAAATCAATGCCAAAAGTATTGGAATAAAAAGCTTGAGGAATAGCACACACTGAAAAAAATATTACATTGAAATAAAAGTGTGTTTTAATGACTTGAATTGCAGGGTTTGTATTTGTGGGTCCTGAAATTGTTCATTTATTCATTTTCTGCCGCTTTTCTGGGGCCGACTTAACACGAAACCAGATAACTGTGTATATTTAAGTCCTCTTAACCATCATCTTTACTTATCATAGTTGATTTATCACTGAATTAACTGATTTGATTATCGATATGAGTTGCCTGTACATGTGTTTTAAGTGTATGTGTGTTTGGGAATACCTGGCAGGCTTGTATGCTCCATATGTTTCGTGTTACGTGTCTGTGCCTAGAAACAGAGACATCAAAATGTAGAGCAGAGCCTCTGGAAAAACGGACGGCAGTGTGTCATTAAAGAGTGAATGAAAGGCTGAATGACGAAACCAAACAATAAACCGAAGCCTCTGATTTTCTGAGACGGCCAGACATATTAAGTAACTGATGCAGTAGAGCAGATCACATATGGTCCAAGAGCTGGAGATCGAAGCTGTGGTCAAACAACTCTTAGCATCTTAGGAGTTACCATCAGGGACAATAATGCGCAATTTCATGCAAATGTCAACCTTGCCATGGAAAAAATTTTGGTTTCACCAAAATAGCTAAACACTTTCTAAGGTTTTTTTTTTTTTTTGGTGTCGGCTTGTATTTTACTGTAAGAATACTCTAAAATGTCTCAAAAATGAAAGTAAATGACCTTCAGTGCAGTGTGTAACAGCACTAAGTGAATGAAAACATCCAGCTGATGTTTAAATCTGAAATTGCACCTTGTTTAAAAATACCGATAAAAATAAAAGATTTGACTCAGAGCTGTTTTCAGAAATGATTGGTTGTTCGTCTGGATCTTTTGCCTGTTTTTTATCAACGTTGACATAAAACAATTCCAAATATGACGTGCCGTATCCGATAAAACGTGAACACGCCTTTCCCTTCAAACACTAGGGGCTCTATTTTCACGATGCATGCGCAAAACGGAAAGCGCAGGGCGCAAACACTTTCAGGGCGTGTCAGAATCCATATTTGCTAATTTAAGGACGGGAAAATCCGCTTTGCGCCGTGGCACTTTGTATAAAAGGGGTGAGTTTATTTTCTTAATGAGTTATAGGTGTGTTTTGAGAATAAACTAATCAGAGTCTCATCTCCCATTCCCTTTAAGAGCCGCAGCTGCGTCGCGCCTTAAGCATTTGGTATTTACATGACGTAAAGTAAGTGTAGGTGGAAAAACTGAGCATTACAAAACAATTTACTAATGTTTTGCTTATTACACTTTACATACGTGAAACTTGCCTACATCACTTATTCATAGTTTATCTTATAGTTGTGTAAATTGCTTCCTTGTCCTCATTTATAAGTAACTTTGGATAAAAGTGTCTGCTATATGACTAAATGTAAATGTAAATATCAGTCCGATGTTGGAGCTAAAAACCAAAATATGACCTTTTATTTATACAAAATAGGGGTTCTTTAAATTTGATTTACCAAAGACACACAAGTAATTTAATGAGACAGTATAGTGTCCCCTTCACTATACTGGGGCATTAGGACTCACATAGACCACAGGTTGAGCACCCCCAGCTGGCCTCTCTTACACCACTTCCAACAGCAACCTAGTTTTCCCATGTGGTAACATCCAGGTACTAACCAGGCTCAGCCCTGCTTAGCTTCAGTAAGTAACCGGTCTTAGGCTGCAGGGTGATATGGCTGTGACATATGCTAATTTTACATCTTTAACATCACCATAACAGAGAGACGTCACATCCATTACCAAGCTTTTCCCCTTATAAATGCAAAAATGTTAAATAAAATAAAATCAATCATTTTTGTTCTATAGAGAGCCGACTCATATCCTATTGATTAGCATTACTTCTTTTAGGTTGTGCAGTTTAGTTCAAAATTTTTTTACAAAGTATGTTGTATAGTGTTAACTCGCTAACATATGTCTATTTTCCTCATTTAAAATCTAAAAAAAAAGTTTACAGATTAATTTTTTTTGATTCCATATCAGTATTTTTGAAAATATAAACAGATGTTTCAATATGATATTAACGTATACTTTCTCTGTGAATTTTTTGTTTGGAGTTTTTGCTGCAAATGTCACATCTATTATATATTTAAATATCTGCTTAGTTTTATAACATAAAGCATCCTTTCCAGAAACAGAACCCTTCTTTTTGGTTGTTTTAGTGCAAGCATCTTGTACATGTAACTGTTTAAATACTTGTAAAGGCACAACAGTGATCAATGGTCCGTCTGTGGCTGTTCTCTGGAATGTGGAGGTGGATGTAGGAATTAGAGCTGGGTTTCCCACAAACAAACGTAATGGAAGAAACAGACGACTCTCAAACCAGAGTGTGACGGGATGAATTTCACTGGTTAGGCCAAGAAGAAAGTGTGTGTGTGTGTGCTTTGTACTTTTATGTTCTTGTTCTTATGTTTATATTTATTTCTATCTGTCTATATCTGTCTGTCTGTCTATATATTTATCTGTCTATTTTGTTTGTCAGTATCTATCCATTTTCTTGTGTCTGTCTGTCTGTGTTTGTCTTTTTCTTTGTTTCGGTGTCTGTCTGCATGTCTCTGTCTCTTTCTGCCTGTCTGTCTGTCTGTCTGTGTCTGTCTGTCGGTCAGTTTGTCTGCCTGCTTGTTTCTGTCTCTTTCTGCCTGTCAGTCTGTCTGTCTATTTGTCGGTCGATCTGTCTGTCTGTCTTTCTGTCTGTCAGTCAGTCTGTCTGTCTGTCTGTCTGCCTGTCTGTCGGTCTGTCTTTCGGTTGGTTTGTTGGTCTGTCTGTCTGTCTGTCTGTCTGTCTGTCTGTCTGTCTGTCTGTCTGTCTGTCTGTCTGTCTGTCTGTCTGTCTGTCTGTCTGTCTGTCTGTCTGTCTGTCTGTCTGTCTGTCTGTCTGTCTGTCTGTCTGTCTGTCTGTCTGTCTGTCTGTCTGTCTGTCTGTCTGTCTGTCTGTCTGTTTGTCGGTCTGTCTGTCTATCTGTCTGTCGGTTGGTTGGTCTGTCTGTCTTTCTGCATGTATGTCTGTCTTTTTTTCCCTGTCAGTCTGTCTATCTGTCTGTCTGTCTGCCTGTCTGTCTCCATGTCTCTGTCTCTTTCTGCCTGTCAGTCAGTCTGTATTTCTGTCTGTCAGTCAGTCTGACTGTCTGTCGGTTGGTTTATTGGCCGGTCTGTCTGTCTGTCTGCCTGTTAGTCGGTCTGTCTATCTGTCTGTCTGTCTGTCTGTCGGTTGGTTGGTCTGTCTGTCTGTCTGCATGTATGTCTCTGTCTTTTTTTTCCTGTCAGTCTGTCTGTCTGTCTGTCTGTCCGTCTATTTATCTGTCTGTCTGTGTGTCTGTTTGTCTGTCTTTTCGTCTGTTTGTCCGTCCGTCTGTCCGTTAGTTTGTGTATGTCTGTGTGTCTGTCTATGTGTCTGTCTTTCAATCTGTCTGTCTGTCTATCTGTCTATCTATCTTGTTTATCTGTCTGTGTGTTTGTTTATACATCTGTCTGTCTGTCAGTCTCTACAGCTAATGTTCAGTTCATGTTCTCACTCTTGTCAGCATCCTCAAGAGGCGTGCTTCACATGTAACATGGAAACTTTTCTCTTAGTTTATCCATTTATTTCTGGTCTGTCTACTGGCTCACCGTTACAGTCTCACACTTTACTGTATTCCCCCCTCAAACCCCATCTCTCTCACTCGGCTCCACCTTTGATGCGTATTTTCCAGCTCGGTGTCGACATCTTGCTGTAGTCAGCACAATATTGTGCCTGTAAGACTCATGGGAGCTTGACTCCAACAGGAAAACATTTATATCTACAATACACACACACATTTGCTCACACATATGTCGCAGATGCACACATGCAGATGCACAGTTTGTTCGACGTACAGACGTGTGTGGAAAATCTCACGCTGCTTTTGCTGATTGACTGCACATGGATTTAGTCAATAATGATGGATCTCTATAATGCACGCTCACTGCAGAAAATGCACATTTGGGTGTGTGCGTTTGTTTGTGTGTGTGTTTGTGTGTGTGTGTGTGTGTGTGTGTGTGTGTCCATTTACTTTTAGGAAAGTGTATTGTAGTCTTTCAGTGTTTCTTACAAGTAGTTTCAGTTTGTATCTGTGTGTGTATTTTACTGAATGTTTGCTAAATCACCATATGTCCTCTTTGTTTACAGGGACAAAAAGGCCATCCGGGACCACCAGGCCTTCCCGGGGAACCAGTGAGTAGTACAGACCTACAAATAGTGTTGCACAAACAAGCACTTAAACAAATATTCCTGTCTCAAAACCTGCATCACTATTCATAATTAATCCATGGAGAGTTTTACCTTTTATATATGGGCCATTCTTCAACTACGAGCATATTTAGCCTTGTGAAGTTGAGTAAAAAAACTTAAAATAAACGTAACATAACATCATAAGTTTAAACATTTTGTCTAGCTTTAAGATAGGACAAACTTAGATAAGAAGAGAAACATTTTTTTCCATCGTGAACCGAACAAATGTCAATTCCACCACATCTCAATACACAGCTTATTTCCAAATGTAATAAATTAAGGCAGTCAAACATTGTCAAAGATCATTTTTGTATCTAGTTTAACCGATTTTTCCACTGTATATAATAATTATACATTTGTCAATGAAATAAATTAGCCCCTTAGGACCATTCTCCATACTTCGAATGAGACGATAAACCGAGGTCCCGACTCTCTGTGGTCGTTAAAGATCACAGGATGTCCTTCGAAAAACAGTAGGGGTTTAACCCCGGCATCCTGGCCAAATCTGCCCACTGGCCTCTGTCCATCATGGCCTCCTAACCATCCCCGTATTCCAATTGGCTTTATCTCTGTCTCCTCTCCACCAATCAGCTAGTGTGTGGTGTGTGGTCTGGCGCAAAATGGCTGGCGTCGCATCCAGGTGGATGCTGCACACTGGTGGTGGATGAGGAGACCCCCCCCCATCATGTAAAGCGCTTTGAGTGCCCAGAAAGCGCTTTATAAATGTAAGGAATTATTATTATTATTGTGCACCTGTCACACTCTAAAATTTAATATTAATTTGGTAATTAGAAAATAAATGAACTAAATTTGTATATTACATAGAGCACGAACTCATACATTGTGAATGCACTTTTAATGTGTGATGGGAACTAAAATGTGTGTGGTGATGGAAATGACAGTGGTGGGAATTACATTTCATCAGTTTATTGTGAAAAATGAAAAATGGCTTCACTAATTAGCTTTGAATTGATACCGGCCTTTCATGTATACAAAACACTTTTATTTTCCTTCATTGAAGGTACAACATGTTTGGAAATGACATAGAATAAATGTATTTCCTTAATAAGCAATATTTACCGATTTTTCTTCAAATGTTGTTAATAAAAATGTAAATTCCCTCCCTCTTGAACATGTTCTCAGATGGCACTGTTCATTTTCATAGAAACCACCTAAATAATCTTAAACACAAACTTTTTAAAGCGACATTACAGTGTTGTGGTGGAAATGACACTGATACAGTGCGACAGCTATATTTTGTATAAAAATTATATTGATAATATTCTCACATTAATAACTATAAAATATTTAATTTATTTCACTAGTGCTTCATTAGATACAGTAATAGATAGCAGATAAATAATATTTTAAAATGTTATTTTCATTGTTGAAGTATAAAGCTCTGGGTGTGCGACAAGATAAAAACAGTGATTTTGACACCTAAAAGGAGGTTGAATAATGTGAAAAATATATAATAGAAAGGTAGTAAAGTTTTTTATATTAGGTTTTGTTGTTAGTTTAACAAGGAAAGAGGATTTTGAACAAAATTATATATATATATATATATATATATATTTGGATATATGATCAAAGGACATAAAAGTACCCATAGTTGAAGAATCACCTATATATGCATGTGCTGTAAAAAATAATGCTGGGTTCAACACAATCGGTACAACATGAAGGAATTAAGTTAAGCTTTTAGTATCAGTATTTTTCGTTGGGGTTTTTTTTAATGGCTTGATCTTTTTATAGATTTTTTTCATTTCAAATAATACAGATGAATATCGATTACAGAGCATTAACATAATAGCAGAACAATACAAAATAAACAAATACAATCAATAAATAACGTCATATAAAAAATGAGGGTGGTTGCTAAAATCATAGCCTTAATTATTATATTGTCACAGTGGGTCGCAGAAATTCTGAAATCTTCCCCATATATCAAAATAAATGTCAATCATTTCATGTAAACTGTAGGAGAGTTTTTAAAAAGCTGCAACTCGTCCTAACTCTGAGATCCACTCGAAGATTGGAAGTCTACTGGAAGATTTCCACCCGTCTGCCTAGCATGATACAGCTCTATATCCACTGTGATTCTGCTTTATTCATGTGTCTTAAGGGACAGGGGTCACCAAGTAGGTATAAGCTTGGGCAAAAGTCATACAGGGTCTGCAATATCTTTGCAAGGTATTCATGCACCTCTCTCCAGAAATACTGGACTGCTGGGCATTGCCATAATACATAAAATAGGTCAGTATTGTTAGTTTTTAAGATATCTATAAGCTAGTGTGCTCCAAAACAGTGACAAAATTTGTGTTCAGACAATATAGAACTGATATAAACATGTAAAGCTTGTAGTTTAACTTCCGCCTGAATGGATCAAGTGTTTTATTCACGTCACCTCATACTACACTCATTAAATCATAACCAATCAAATGCTCTCTAGTGTCTGACATGCCCCGCCCCCTTGAAAACGCTTCTCATTTGCTTTTCATCTGATGCGCTCAACCACTCTCACTGGCAGAGCAGGGATAAAACAAAACATTGTTGGCTGTTTTTTTTGAATGGGGGAGGAGCTACACTATGTCCCACCCTCTCTTCGTGTTAAGGTTGATATTATGTCAAACACTGAATAAAAGTACATATTTCAAAGCACTTCATGAGACTTTTAACGTATTATTTTTGCAATTGTAAGTGGATTGAACATAAAACAATAAAGTTTTCCCAAAAAAACTGCTCATTTGAAATACGTAGTTTGAACAAACAGCAAACGTATCTTTTTTGAGTGTGCAAAGACGTTCACACGACAAGAAAAAGCCCTTTTAAAGGCCTCTGTGTTATTTAAGGTGAACTGTCCTTACGAGTCAAAAGTTTAGCTAGAGGAAAGACAAACACACACACACACACACATACCCAGAGGAAAGTTTTATTGCTCAGGGCTTGTACCTTCGTAACTCAGGAAACTTAAAACATGAAGCATGAACGACAGCAACTCATTTTAATGGTAAAAATAACAATTGATTTCAAAGGCAGATGACATAACTATCATTATGCAATTAGCGATTTGCAATCGTTTTGTCCACTGTTGGTAATTAAAATGTAGCTGATGAATCTTTTGAACTGCAGATCTTTACATTCAATGCATTTATTAATTTTCCTTCAGCTTACTCCCTTATATATCAGATGTCGCCACAGCGGAATGAACCGCCAACTAATCCAGCATATGTTTCACACAGCGGAGGCCCTTCCAGTCACAACCCAGTACTGAGAAACAGCCATACACACTCACAAACACTCATACACTATGGCCAGTTTAGCTTATTCAATTCACCTATAGCGCATGTGTTTGGACTTTGGGGGAAACCAGAGCACCCGGAGGAAACCCACGCCAACATGGGGAGAACATGCAAACTCCACACAGAAATTCCAACTGACTCAGCCGGGACTTAAACGAGTTACCATTTTGCTGTGAGGTGACAGTGCTAACCATTGAGCCACCGTGCCACCCCTTATATATTCAATTCAATTCAAGTTTATTTCTATAGCGCTTTTACCATAGGTATTGCTTCAAAGGAGGTTTACCAAAGGTGCACGTTATTGCATTACAATTATATACTGTAGATGGTTATGCTGTAGAGCACTATATACTGTTATTATACTGTATATTGTGTACTGGTATTATACTTTATATACTGTAGAAAGGGCAACACGGTTTCCTCCACTGCGCTATAGGTCAATTGGATAAACCAAATTGGCCATAGTGTATGTGTGTGAATTAGAGTGTATGGGTGATTCCCAACACTGGGATGCAGCTGGAAGGGCCTCCGCTGTGTAAAGCAAATGCTGGATAAGTTAGCGATTCATTCCGCTGTGGCGACCTCTGAATTAGAGACTAAGCCGAAGGAAAATGGATGAATGAATGAATACTGTGGAAGTTTTTTTTAAAGGTGCCCTCGCTGTCTCACTACACTGTTGAAGGTGCAAAGGCATGTACAAGCACAGCCAAACAATACATTTCTCATGACACTAGTTTGTTCACTTGCGGGAGTTCCATTCCATGTTAATTCTGACCAATCGAAAAGCAGTTTAGGAACTCTGTTCAACAACATCTGGCCAATGAGAGATGTGGACTGATGACTGCATTTTGGTCCTTTTCATCGTGTTCAGACCAAAGCTGTCAGTGTAGTGTGAAAAGGACCCAAAACGGTAGAAAATGCAACAATGTATCATTTATTGCCCTTGGTCCGGACCAAATGAAACAAACCACAGATGTGAAAGCACTCTTAGGGTGCTTTCACACCTGTGAATCGATTCAGTTGTTCCGAAACAGAGATTACAATTGTTACATTGTTGCTCTTTGCTCTTGGAGCGGTTTGCTTTCACACGGCAAAGTTTCTAATCGGACCAAAAGCGCTAAAACAAGTCATGTGCGAGTAAACTCTCCTCACATTGGTCAGAGTGTCAGGGTTTATTTTGCAGTGTCCCGCTCAGCTGTCAGGAGAGGTGGTGGTTTGGTGGTGATTGACAGGGTGCGCGCACGATGTGTCTGAGGAGAGATGCGGTGGGGAGGGGTGCGAAGGGTGCACGACGTAGCCTATTTGAGGACCGGGAGGGAGACGTGAGATTACCGGGAGATCATCACTCGTTTGCGGGCATCCGGAGACTCGCGAAACTTCCCGCCATACTCATAATTCTCTCTTCATATAGTCGTATGCCTATTACATATCCATAAAACACTGTGATATAACCGCGCTCGGATCGGATCACTTTCTCACTGTAATCAAACCGCTCCAGGGTTCGTTTCAATCGAGCCGAGACCACCTCATTCAAGCGATCTCGGAGCGATTACTTTGTTTGGCGCGGAACAGAGCACGATTACCCTGTTCAAATATGCCAAGTGAACCGCGCTAACTGGGCAATCGAGACATGTTCCGAAA